AAATCAAGCATTCACCAAGTACAAAAGAATCATTAGTTCATTCAAACACCACATCCTCCACAGCTTATATTAGAGTCTAAGTGTCTGTAATTGATTGTACGTCTTCTTCTTAAGTTCATCCTGTGTCTGTCCGACACTGTATTGGATAAAAACTCTGTTTTATCTAGAATGTGCTCATTAGTATTGGAACTAACAACCGAAATCGGAACAGAATCACCTGTTTCCTGGGATTGTATACAATCGCCGTGGCGGCTGTGTACCGAAACCACTATCTAGAATTTAAAGCACGGATTTTCCAACACTATCCTCCCCAACGGAATAATGTTGGATCTTTATATCCCCAAGTTACGAATGATGTGGCTTTATTTAAAACATATTTCTCACATTGGTTAGAGAAAACATTAGAAGTGTTTTGTTGATAAGGATAAACAGCAGTTGATATGAAATCATCTGAATTGTAATCAAAATCGAGGTCATTTAGTACTTGTGCTTCCCACAAGAAACAAATGCATTATGAGGACAAATAATATTTGATAGAAAATCAAGATTTGACTCTTCTGAAATAGTTTGCTAAAATTTATTAAGAATGTCATTGCAGAGTAATGGATCATTAGAAAAATCAGCATCTATCAAAACTACATCAGGTTTTCGATCCTGACTAGGTTCATTCAACATATTATCCTCAGATTTGTAAGGAATTTCGTCAGAAATAAGTGAGTCATTAGGAAAAACCATATCTAGTACAATAACATGAGAAATCTGATAAGTCGATTGATTAGAAACTGTTGTCTCGCAAGAATTCTGAGTTTTACTTAACTCTGAACTGCTATATGACTCTACACTGTCTTTTGAAATCGTTGATAAGGATAAATAATCAATAGGAACACTGGACTTAATAGAATCAGAATTACAAGACTTAATATTCGTTGCAGCAAAATGAACAGTAGTATTACAAACTGACTGAATATGTCCAATATCACCACATTTAAAGCATTTAGAATTACGAAATTTACATGGATTAAAAGAGTAGAACCTGCCACAGGACAAACATTGATCAGTCTTGTGCCCATTTTCGTGAACTGCATCGCAACTCCTCAATGAATTATCATTAGTTCATTCGAATGCCACAAATTCTCAGCACAAAGTATTTCAACAAGTTTCCGTTTTTCATTTCTTGATCGATCCCGACGATAAATATTGAATGATCACCAGTTTGAAGTTAGCAGTCCACTGAATAGACATCTAAATAATATACATTCTTTTCGCTGCATATTACCAGCAACTACGATATCTTTGATTGGATTTTTTGTATTTTGTACAACGAAAGGTTGAACAGTTTTCAGAAACGTACCTGAATAGGTTATGCGATTGATAAACATAATGATGTATTAAATCAAACGAAAATAGATAACTTGTTGAAATATCTAGATGACAGGAACAGGTAACCCAGATGTTCAAGCAGGCTGCCAAGTTCAGAGTTTAATTGAGAATATTGAGTATAGTGATTCTCAATTAAGACTTCATCTTTGTATATAGACAATGTGCCACATTTCAGTAGAAATGCCCAACCATATCTACCACTAAGTGAAATTTCGATGCATTTTTGTGGTTGTTGAAATTTTACTTCATTAACATACATCATGTCAGCATCAACAAAGATTCATAGATAAAAATGGCATAGTATTTCGGAAAATAGACGATTTTAATCATTCGATTGATTTTGCTGAAATTGTCTTGTTATATTCCAACTAGACAAGAATTATTGACAAAAAATGTAATGACAAACTCCTTAATTAATATCTGAAGTGCTGGAACTATGATGTTTCTATAGTCGTGTACGTTACTCAAGGTTGTACATAATTTTGAAATTTTATAAAACAGTCAATGAAATATCTACATCAGTCAAAACTGATAATGCAAGAAAGTTCCTTTTATGAGATATTCTTCTTTATTGTAAGTAAACAACGATAGCTGTCATTCAATCTCATTTAGCCTGAAGCTGTGATCACATGTATATAAGTCCACAAATTTTATTATTGAACTACTAATCAGGGTTCATGAACACTAAGTATGCTATACTGTTGTTCAAATGATGAGAGCTTCAAGTTACTGATTGTTACTTATAAAGTGCGGATAAGCATAATCTACTAGGGAAATTAACTGACATTTATCATTAACACATGCAATAATATATTTCATGATCTGTCGTGATGATATCTGTACACAAGCTTTTATATTGAATCCATGATGGACGCGTAAATGTGTAATACAATTTCCTGAAGGACTTGAGTCATTTCTGAAATTAAAGTACTTTCAGTTGATTGGGTGAAATGTCTGAGTATATGTGCCTATGATAAATTCTTAAATTTTAGACTCGTCAATTAAAATACTTCAAGCGATAAGTATTACTTCTCAGTTGTCATTTTCAAGTTCTATCCAACATTGTTTGTGGCACCTCCACAAAGCTATTGAAATATAGATTTGACTGTAATAACAGTTGTTTGAGATCTCATGTTCCTTTAAAAGAGCTGAAGTTTAGTGAGTATGAATTGTGCTGTCGAATTCTTGATGTTGATCTTCAGAAATGTAATTTTCGTTGTAGCTGTTTGCTGGCTTTGAAAAATGTCTGTCAAGTGGTCGTTGGTTTTAATTCTTGGTTACAGCTGTCCTTCATTGTTTGACGACTCAATAATGATACCCCTACTACAGACACATTTGACCACACACTTGGACGCTTAAAACTCAGTTTGTTGAGATAATTAAAAGTCAAATACCCTAATCTTACTTGTGATGTGCAACAATCAGCTGAATTTCTACTCTAGTTTTTGGCACATGAAGTCAGACATGTCATTAACTCTTCAGGATCCGATAGACGATATTCAATGTAGTAACAATCTAAATACGTGAAATTTTATCATTCAACAGTCAATGATACTTCGGTTTAAATACAATGATTGGAAGTTGCGTGTTGGTTTCAAGTTGCTTAAGACTATATCACTGATTGTCCGTATCAGTATTACAATTAAATTAGTTATCAATAAAATGAGTATCCAGTGAGAACAAACGAACACTACCTAGTTAACAGTGAGGAATATCTATACGAATTCGATCACTTAGAGTATATCATGGCGAAGTGTTTGAAATATGATGTAATCTACAGCCGAAAGTGGCTACTTGTAGTATAGGGTAAACTTCAAGTTGAAAGCCATACTCGATTATGCTGGGAGACTTAAATGATAAACATCAGCAGCATGAAAGGAACCATTTTAACAGACATGTTTTGTTGTTTCACTGGGACTGTCATACCGGCGGTTGAAATTTCTGACATATTTTTTAAAAGTTTAGGGTAAAATAATAAATATTCAGGAATAAGTGATTGTAGCTCATTAAATGTTAATTTACATGAGACTAAATGTATGGAGAACATAATGTTGTTCCAGTTTAACATACTGTTTGCATAACGTAAGTATATGATATTTAAAAGAAGGCATTTTTTATGTTCATCTGTTGTATGTCAACGATTCCGATAGTATTTCTCCTCAAGATTTCAGTAAATATTTGTTAACTACTCTAAACCTTATTCAAACATCGCGTTTCATTATAATGTCAATTGATTTAGTTGTTTCTGATTCCGTGTGTTCTACTTGAAGCTATGAACCCTTAGTTTCTGGGTTCATGTATACTGTTTATCACTTCCTTACAATCAGACTTTTGATTCGCTTTTACTATGAACGTCCTCTTACAGGTCATACTCTGTTCATCATTGCAATGACTGATCTCTTAATTATAGATTCGTTTCTCGACTTAATATATGCAGATCACACATATATGTTGAGTGTGAATGGTGACAGAATACAGGGTCTCTTGATAACCTAGAATTACAATAAAAGCCTTGTTTAGGCGACTCATTGTGGAATCACTAAGTGAACAATATTGAGTTTATTTCAAAGCCTTTTCAGAAACTCCGTAATTTGTTTATGAGACTGGATCCTCACAAATAAAGTGTTCCGGACTGGTATCACACTAGTCAAACCACCGTCAAGTTAGATGCATGATACTGACCGATGTAGAAGTAGTCTGTAAGGAAACTGATAACGATTAAGATCGTCTGGACTATGGTCGTCGACTATGGAGATGTTGAATGACATGGTTTAGAATCGATCACAATTGAAAGATACTTTCACATTTTATCGTTCTCTAGATCCTGTGTTCACAGAGACTTGTTAAAACACCTAAGGATTCTATATTTCTTATCATCATTTCAAATTATCATGTAATATGGTTTGGCAGCTTGGTATGAAACAGCTTCGTCCACGTTTATTTAGTCATCAGCAACAACGCAGAACTTCGTACGTACGTAATCAGTTCGAGTTGCCATACCATATTAGTACACGGATACAATTGTCGATTCAAATCCCATAGTGATAGTGGTAGTAAGATTGCAGGCAGTAATCGGAAAGATTAGGGTTTGAAAATGTTATTCAAAAAGTGTAATCCAGTGAAATAAATTCGGAAAGAGAAAAAAATGATATGAAGAATTCAGAAGAATAGAATTTGTGAGAACACAAAGAGTGGATGCACCTGCGCCATTGCAAACGATTTTGAGTCATATCATTCAAGGTCTCTAACCATCGGTTGATTTCGTCTTGCGGATCCCAACCAGGTAGTCTACACCTACCAACATGGCCCAGTTCACTTATCAGTGACTTCATAGATTTGTGCCGTTTTGACCTGACTACCCCTGGCTTTCTTCCAACTTACTCTTACACCACAAAACATCGCACGTCACGGCTGTCGGTCGTTGGGCATACGTAACACATGTCCCAGCCATCTCAACTGGTGAAGTTTCACTACTTCATCAATTGATTTGCTAACCTTACCTAGTACCTGTTTCCTAACATCTGCATTACTTACTTGGTGATCCCAAGATATACGAGCAATCCTTTGAAGACACCTATGATGACTGTTTGCAAAATACTTTTAACAGAATAAAACAAGATTTATCAGACTAATCTACTTTTTTTCTTTAAATTTAAACTTTATTCATAAAGTAACCAATTAAATGTCAATACAATTATGTAATAATCTCAACAAAAAAACATTTCTAAACTAATATGATTATTACAATGTAATGAACACTATCAAACATGATTTTGTTTAAAATCGTAGAAAACCTGAAATTGAAAAGAAAGAAATTTCCAATTATTCTACACATTTAATAGATTGATTAATATAACAATATGTAAAGGTAAATATGATATTTCACTGGTTGAAATCATGAGTCAATTGAAGCTAGACCACCATGGAAAACATGGAAGCACTGGACGGCTGTTTCGTTCCAGTATGGGACTCTTCAGCAGTGCCCATCCACGATCCCGCCCTCCGCAAGATTCGAACCCAGGACCTACCGGTCTCGCACCAGGCGCTTAACCAACTAGACCACTGAGCCTGCCGGCCAATGTCTGACTTCAACTAAATATGATATTCTTTTACTTAATATAATAATCATCTAGTGTTTGTTTCTGTTTTTTTCAGTATGATATTCTATTCAGTATAACATACGATATTCTTGTATTTAATGAACATGGACTATGCTCAGTATGATATGTAGCATATGATTTTCTTATAAATCTAATTACTTTACATATATGTGATTTCATCTAGTGTTAAGAAATCTTCATCGTTGGAATTGCAGTAATTCCTTATTTTTGAGTATAAGTGATAAGCGATTCCGATATAATAATCAGTAATGATCATATCTAACAAGTAGCGTTCAATCAGAAGACATATCATTGACTTACTTACTTACTTACTTACTTACGCCTGTTACTCCTCGTGAAGGAGCATAGGCCGCTCACCAGCATTCCCCATCCAACCCTGTCATCAGCAATCCTTTCCAGTTCTTTCCAGTTGTTATTCATTCTTTTCATATCTGCTTCTATTTCTCGACGTAATGTGTTCTTTGGCCTTCCACTTTTCCACTTCCCTTCAGCATTTCAAGTTAACACTTGTTTCGTGATGCAGTTTGGTGATTTCAGTCATCTATATCCTATCTATTTCCATTGTCTTTTCCTAATTTCCTCTTCAGCTGGAAGCTAGTTTGTTCTCTCTCACAGAGAGGTTGTTGCTGATGGTATCCGGCCAATGGATATTGAGTATCACACATCATTGAATACATAGTTAATCTATCAGTCATTATAGAGTTTATAACAATTGAAAGATTTGTTGTCTTTCATCTTATCTGTCAGCCAACTTAAAATATATTCATTGACTACAAGTATTAATCTAACAGTAACTTTATTGAATCTGACATAATCAATTGTTTTAATAACTATCAAATATGTTGTATTCGTCGTATTCTCAAGACAAGTCTAAATACAATAAGTCAATCTCGAATAATATCACATTACAATACTTGACATAGAGATGAACATAAAATAGCACAAAATAATTGATTATTAAGATAAAGTAGAGAGAAAATCTCATTTGCATTACCACCAAATTTCTTTCCTAAAGATATTATTCATCAACATTTCTCGCAGCGAATTCGTACATAACTGAAATATCAGAGAAAACTCAAGTGAATATTTTGTACAATAAAATAAATATTTATTATTAATCTATCATTTTCACTATAGGGTTGTGAAGATTATTATGTTTTTGATTGAAATCATGAACTGGTTGATGTTAGACCACTGCTGAGGAGGAGTCTCACAATAGGACGAAACAGTCGTCCAGTGCTTCCAGGTTTTTGATGATAGTCTAACATCAATTGGTTCATGATCTCAATAAAAAATATTTATCATTTTATTGGAAGTGATGTTAACTCCAAGTAGTTAACTGTCTACACAAATTTAAAAAGCCATATTAACGCCTTTTTAATTTTTTTCCAAGTTCTCACAATTCAGCGTTTTACTACTACATGATTCATATGGTAATGAACGAACTATTTGTGTGTATATGATAAAAGAATTCAGAATATTTCACTTTGTGATCTCAACAGTTACATTTTTAGTAAAAAACATACAATAAATTCACTTGATATTGTTTGTTTAAGTCTTCCCATTGATATTAGGACTGAAATTGATCAGTCTCATGTTGGCATATGTGCATACTAAGCGCATTGCCTTGATATAGCCTTAAGTCACAAGCATTATATGCAAATATGGATAGTGGCTAGCAGAGGAATCCAGGACGCGCGTTTCGTCCTATTCAGGACTCGTCAGCTGGATGTACCTGCATCTCAGAGTTGATGTTCACTCTGGAGCTCGAAATCAGTACCGACCGCTTCAAACCCTATCACGTTATGCACTTAGCTACTGAGTCCTGATAGTCATATGCTTTTGCAATGCGGTGAAGTTTAAATTCACTTGGTATTGTTTACTTGACTCCTCCTATTGATGTGAGTGAACATCAACACTGGGATGCAGGTACATCTAACTGACGAATCCCAAATAGAAAGAAACGTGCGTCTTGGATTCCACTGCTAAAAACATGCAATGTTGTGTGACTTTTACTTACACATTCCCTTTTAAACGACTTTATATTCATGTATTTTTTAGCAATCAAGTCATCTAGATCCCTAATATCTGAAGAGAGGGAAAGAAAATTATTTGTCAATTTAAGAAGTATTATACAAAATTCATCTTAACTTATCATCCATTGTCAGTTTGACAATGGATATAAAGTATTCAAATCAATAACTTTAAAAATAATTATCCACTGCATTTGATAGTATCGAGTTACTGTTTCCCTATCTATTTATAGATATGATGTGCTTTCTTCAATTATGTTTCATAAAAGAGAAATCATTACTTTTGAATTAGGATATGAGTAGTGACAATATTAAGAACAAAATTTTGAATAGCAGGCCATCGTAATTGTGGTTAATTGATGAAGTATCATTTTATTTTTAAGCTTATTGTTTTCATTTAAATATCGAACATGAACAGAAGTTTATGAATTTGTGTGATTTGTACAAAGACTTTGAATTACGTTAACAGGGTTTTGAATTATCAACGTGTTGTCGTTAATTTCTTAGATGTTCTGTTGTCCATGTAATATTGATACGTTTATACAGTAAACTATGTGCAAACTCCGACTTTAGCATTACCTAATTACGCCTGTTACCCCGTCAACCAGCATTCTCCAACCCACTCTGTCCTGGGCATTCCTTTCTCGTTCTATCCAATTTTCGTTCATTTTTCTCATGTCTGTCTCCATTTCCCAGCGTAATGTGTTCTTTGTTCTTCCTCTTCTCCTTTGGCCTTGGAGATTCCATGTGAGGGCTTGTCTTATGACGCAGTTGGGTGATCTCCTCAATGTGTGCCCTATCCATTTCCAGCGCTTCTTCCTCACCTGGAATCTAGTTCGTCATCTCCCATAATAGGTTGTTACTGATAGTGCGTGGCCAACGAATCCGAAGTATTTTGCGTAGACAACTGTTAATAAACACTTGTATCTTCTGAATGCTGGCTTTCGTAGTTCTCCGAGCTTCTGCCCCATACAGAAGAACCGTTTTGACACTTGTATTGAAAATTGTGACTTTGGTGTTGGTTGTCAGTTTTTTAAAGTTCCAGATGTTCTTCAATTCTACATATGCTTCTCTTGCTTTGCCGATCCGCGCCTTCACATCTGCATCAGATATACCGTGTTCATCAACGATGCTGCCCAGATATATAAAGGTTTTAACATCTTACAAATCTTCTCCGTGAAGTGTGATTCGATTGGTGCATGTTGTGTTGTATCGGAGAATCTTGTTTTTCCCTTTGTTAATATTGAGATCTACTGCTGCTGAGGCTGCTGCTACACTGGTCTTCTTCTGAATTTGTTGTTGCGTGTGCGATAGAAGAGCCAGATCATCTAGGACTTTAGCACGATGGTGAATAATTTAAACCCAATTATGAACATTCAAAACACATTTGCAAAATTTACGTCAACCGAGAAGAATATCGTGAATTCTTGGCGTGTCTAGACTTCCATAAGCTGATGAAGTTCAGTTCAATATTGTTTCAAACTTTGCATAAAGTAACATTACAGATGTCACTTTAGGCCAATTGCAATGGAAGACATTTCTTGAAATAGTATGAATTCAGTTCATTCTGCAAATCATGTTCTGTTTGATTTGTTAAAATTGATCAAACGATCAAAAAGCATTAAACTTTTGGAAAATATGATGTTTTCATCTGAGTAATTCAATGAGCTTATCAGTGTTACCCTTTTGTTGCAAGAATCATTCAAAGAATTTATTAATAAACGAAGGTAGTAGACAGATAATCATTTCATTAAAATCGCGAACCAATCAAATTTAGGCAACTATTGATAAACTGAAAGCATTAGATGTGCTTGATTCTCACTTACGATGTCATACATGAGCATTATTGTGAAGTCCCATACTATGACTTAACATCTGTCAAGTACTTGCCGGTTTTCGATAGTTATCAAACTTAGAACAGATTTTTTTTATTCCAATGAAATTCAACCATCTGCACAACCTCATACTTTTCATACTGATATATAATAAAGATCATTTATTTCTGTTTACCTTCTTCAGGGAATGTTTTAAATTGATTGCACTTTTCTTCATTGTTATCAGACTTCAAATCTGTAAATAACATTGTTTTTTTACAAAAAAATTACTTCACTTGACAACGCTTTTAAAATTGATCAACTATGCGACCAGTGAACATCAATATTTAAAGCGGATAAAAACTGTGAAAATTCGTCTTGGTTACCAAATGTCTGACTAGATATACATCCCTGATGTCATAAATGATCAAAAATATTATTTTGCTTGTAAAACATTACAATATTGATTGAACTAGAAACGTTATCAGGTGCCCTGGTACGGCCGAAAGTGGGAAGAGTCCGCTCTCCCTCTCGAAATGCTCTCACATGGCCACGTGTATATAGCCTCTGCCAGGGAAGTCCCACTCACTGCCTTCTCGTGGCGTGGGTGTTGTTTACGAAAATGAGAGGACGAAAAGCGAATGTCCAGCGCTTAACCGGATTCCAAACCAATGGTGCACATGGGCTCCAGTATCCTGCGAGAACAAATGGCGTATGAACCAATTGTTGGTCACCGGCTTCCATGGGACTGCATCTCCTTACTATGCTCCACTGCCTTGTGGATCAGACCTTCAGGTCGAAGGCTCGGGGAGTGGCCCCCTAAGAAAACCACCTGCTTCGGTTTGGGCACCCGGGCAGTATCACAGCCCTCACACATATCGAATGAGATTTGTGTGGCGCATATGTATTTGGTGCTTCATTTTACCAATATCTATGTGTTTAAATAAATAAATAAAATAAGTTGAATCTTTCAGTAGTCTCAGCCAACAACTAAGTGTAAACAGAAGACTGTGTAAATAGGAATGGTTCATTTTCTTAAATTTATTGTAACAATTAAGTGTTTTCTATATTATTGGTTTTGTAGTGAAGAAGAACATAAGTGGGGACAATCGAACGTATTTGAGCACAAGATTACAGAACATCTCACTAAAATCTGACAACCAAATAGTAAATACTTCATTTGCAAAATATCAATCAATTGTCTTAAACTTGATTGTTTCTTTTGCAAATATCAGTCTATCGTTTCAGATTTCATTGTTCATACATTTTCATACTAATTGCTCTTCTTCTCGACCTTACACTGAAATACATTCTTTATCTGACCATCGTTGTATACTACTTATGTAGATATAAGTAACTCACACCACAGTTTCAAGTCGATAAACCATCCAGCTCAGAGAACAAAACTCCATCACAAACATCATCCACCTGAGCTACAAATCTTCTCCACCATTTCAAAATCATATGAGTGTAGCACATTTCTCGCTGTTTGAAAATGGGAGGATTTCGTCAAAATGCAGGCTTCTACTCGAGAACAACTGTATTTTCTCCACGAATATGTTTGTCAGCATTTTCTACCAACAAGTGTAAGATACAGTGCACTAATCAATTGTTCATTTGGATGGAGAATAGTTGAGTAAAGTGAAAGAAAAATGGCACACCTAATGATAACGGATATTTTATTAAGATAGCTAAATATTCAAGAATATTTTCACTGACTTTCTGATATCTTTAATTGTTCTTTGAGGCAATTCTGCAGAGTTGGAAAATTACCATCTATTGTTTTGATGAAATACAAAGAAAGTAGACAAAATTAATTTCATAACACAATACGAAACATATATTATCATGGCAATCATCTGTAAAGTTAACTTCAATTCAAATAGAGCATTGTCATAAAAGCAAGTTCATTATCCTCTTTAAAGTTTTGCACAACCTTTATGAATAGGATAATTGTACAAGAATAAATGTCGTAAATAGAATGTTTCCGATAGTGAGATTGTATATAATATCACATGGATAATAATGTAAAATGAGAAATCATACATTTTGTAAGTATCCTGAATACCCATGATTCTTCTATTTCTAAAAGATTTAAATGAAAAGAAATAGTTATTCATTTCATTGGCATGTTAATTAAATAAGATGACATCTAGCAAAAACAATATCGAACTTTAGTCTAAATTAATGGTAAAAGAATATAAACGGAAAAAAATTCCAAGGACCCTTCGACAGTAAAGGAACTTGATGAGTTTCTGCGTTATTCTGTCAAACTTGCGAAGTGAATGCGAAGATAAAAGAAGATACAATAACGATGATATAGTGTGCAACAATGATGGAGTTCTTGTATGAGCAGTTAAACTTCACTGTCGTTTTATGTTAGCAAGATACTTGTCAATAACATGCGTAAACATTCTAATAAGTGGACAATTGAATATCTGACCAATTACAAATGAGTAGGAATCAACTCTACAACAAGTAAGTGACTCTCTCTTCAGTTAAAATAATCCTGAATAGTAAGATGAATATATGCAAACAAATAACCGCCAACATGAAACTGTCATGTTATTTAATCCTACTATTTCATTCATTTCAAATGATGTGGTTACATCTCGGTAGTGATAATATACAAGAGATTAATTGTTGAATGTGGATGATATTGTGGTGTGCTACTTATATTAATATAAGTAGTATATGATGTTAGTTGTGAACAGAAGTCTGGCAGCAAAGAGACAAGACGATCGAACAGTAAAAAATGGAAACAAGATGCAATTTGTATGAAAATGCAAGAACAATGAAGTCTGAGTCACTATGCGACAACTGGTGGACATTTTGTAAATTAAGCATTTACATTATGATTGTTAGATTTTATTAACAAGTCCTGTAAGTTTGTGTTAAATGCATTCGATTGTCTCCACCCGTGTTCTGTTCACTACAATATGAAACATGGTGTATACATGTTTTCAATTGAATACTGTTCGCCGAAATAATCTGAAATATTCAGGAATGTTATGAGGGCAACTATAATTTTACAATTTTATGCAACTTTCAGAAGTTACTGTAATGAACATGCGGAATAACTTATAATCTAATTCAATTGGATCAAAATAGAAAATGACTGAAATCAATCAATGTAATGATCTGTGTATGTAATGAGATTTGCATAGAAACAAAGTTTATTTTATAATATCTGTAAAAACCTTTGAGAAATCCGTGATAAGATTCTGCTTCTTGTTGTTTA